AAAACAAAAAGCAAGTGTTGTCACACTGATGATTTAGGACTGTTCTCCATGAATAACCTGCTCACTCGGGTCAGCAGAAAGTTCCTCATTGACCTCAAGAGGCATTCAGCAAGTCCCTAAATGCTCACTGGTCCCCCTTTCAGTTATTTTTATTGTTTAAACCAGACACAAACAGTTTTTCAAACTGAAGGAGCACAAAATGTGAAAGCACCAAAATGTATTTTTTTTCTATCTTAACTTAAAAAAAGAAAAAAAAAGTGATTGTTTTAAAGAACTCAACATGCTCTGAAGTTGAAAGCCTGATGGCAAGACTGCAAGTAGCTCAGCATTACAAAAGCATTGCCATATAGTAGGCTTGTAATGAATGCTACTAATTCAAACATTAAATCAAACAAACAGAATTACTGAATCAAACCTGAAGCACTACCTTCTGCATTTCTATGGGTTTTTTCCAAATAATCATCCTGCCTCCAGTATTCGATTTTATAGCTATGATCATAACGCTGTGCTCTGCAGAAAAGCTATATCCTGCTTCTCTTTGAAAAAATATTCATAAACCCCATGGTGCTGTACAAGTTACATTTAAAGTGCCTGTACTACCTTTATGGCTTTCTCTGGCAATATTTTTCATGTTTAATAGAGAAGCAGCACACTCCTCTCTACGTGCTTGCTAATACACAGCTTTTTCTGGCCTTATTAATTCTCACTACTGAGTGTTCCACCCTGTGCTGCAGCACCCCAGTGAAACACAACACCCAGGAACACTTCTGTTTTGGTGAGCTGTAGTGCAGAGATTCAGACCTGGAAATTTCATCTCTGGGCACTGAGCAACCTGACGTTAACAGCTGCCATACCCCCAAAGTGCCTTGTTTCATCCAGTTGATGCCTGGAAGGTGAAATCCCACCTCTCTTCATGCTCCAGGCACCCTTCTGGGGACAAGCTCAAGAGAAGAGCTGAGCTGATCTGAGACATCACTACCACCACTCCTCCTGTGCTACTCCTAGCAGCCCACAGCCCTCTCCCCAGTATACCTCAACTCACAAAATCAAAGAATAACCCAGGAAGAAAACATCCTGGGAAAACAACAAGGCAGAGCAGCTCAGCAAAAGGCACAGCACTTTCATGTCAAAGATGCAGCTGTCAGTTAGCAAAAGAAAGCTCTACTACAAAAGGACTAAAGGAAGAGACCAGCTTTCTTGCGTGGAAGAAAAGACTTAATTTTACAAAGATCAGGTTTTAATTTTCTGGCTTTTGCGGCATATTCACCAAAATACTTTATAAAGGCACCTGCTTGTTGGATCAGGCAATTTGTATTATCAATTGTTCGGGGTATTTCTTGCCCTTATCATAAAGAAATGCTATAAATTTCACACTTGTGAAGAAGATCAGACAAAAAGACACCAAAATGGAAATTATTCATTAGCCCTTTGAGCTGCGAAGCCTCTGCAGAGTGCTAGGGCCATCTCTTCCTTGGCCACAGCCCCATATGGTTGGTGGCAGACATCCCAGCAGCAGAACAAATGCTTGATGTATGTGCAACATAGTGCCACCAGCCCTCTCCCCCTCTGGCCTTCCTGATGTCAGATCGTAACAGCAGTGTGACCTCATGGCCATCAGCTCTTCTTTACATATTTTAAAAGGCCCCAAATCTGGAACGAGCCCCAGTGTCCCCCACTGGAGTCAGGGGAGTAGTACACTTCCATATCAACTTTGCATGCACAGATGTTTTCCTAGTAATGATGCCAAAACAAGTGCATCCCCAAGGAAACACTGAAGTGAGCACCTGGACACACAGATTCTCCAATGAACTTTATTTCTTTCATATTCTTCTTCTTCTTAAAGAAATCATCTACTCAGAGGTGACAAGAATTAAATACCATTTTGCAACTGAATTGTTGTTTACTGAAGCAGCAATTAACCACATCATATGACCTTCCATATACACAATAAAAATAGAACTGGATGAACTTGTCAGCTATCCAGTATTTAACAGTACTTTGTTACAGAAAATATCCTTTATTTTCCTTCAGCTATGCTCAATCCTGATTGAATGAAGAACTCTCTAGCACTTAACTCTAGATTCTGGTCACTTCAAGCTGTGGCTCTGCATGGTGTTTTTCACAAGAATTGGTTTGAGCTTATAGATGTGTATCAGAAAAACATTTAAAGCCTAAAGTGATGTGGGAACTTTTTTCTCCCTTCAAAGAGCTTTGTCTCTGCATGTCTTCTTCCAGTATGCAGGAACATTGGCTGACAAGTACAAAAGCCTTTTTATTTTATTTTGAAGCAAATCCCTAGAATTTAAAATCAATTTAACAGAACAAACTGAAAACTATGAATAGAAGTATAGGACATACAGGTAAAACACAACTAAGGCATGCACATGAGTAAATTTATTTTTATGCATCAGTTGCAGTAAGTTTTAACTTGAGGAGGGGAGAGGGCTCTGGGTTTCAATTGATGCAAAAGCTTGATCAATAGTTTACTGCTACAAAAAGCCTGCCATCTAACTTCCATCCTAAAATTAACAATCTCTATCCAGAAAGTAGTTCTTATTTTTCACCTTTTTCATTTATTGCAAGACTGCAGAAAAACCTGGCTCTCTGATGGCTAAAAAACCCCTTTAAATTTCCAGTTAAAATATACCTGAGGCTAATTTATACACGCTTGCTCCTGTGACAACCTTGTTGTGACTTTAAATGTCTCTTTCTCCTTCCAGCTTTTGTGTGTCATCAGATTAGCAAATCAAGCTCTTGCAGGGTATGTTTATACAGCCTTTCATAGGCAAATATGCACATGCTCTCCCTATACAGCTAGCTGGCTGTGTGAGAGCCAGATACAAACTGGATGCTGTGTAGACCTGCATAGGACATTACTCAGCCTGAACTGATTGGCTTTGATGAGGGCAGCAGCTTGGTCTTACACCTCTTGGGTGACATTAACCTCACCTCCATCTGGCTCACAGCATGGAAGGAATGAGTGTGTGCCTCCAAAATACCCCCACCCCCCCCAAGCCTTGGTTGCTCCTTTGAGAGCCTCTCTATTCCTCTGTGCACTCCTCCAGCCTTCTCTTCTGGGCAGAGCCTATCACCAGGCTACCCGAGTACCTCATCTGTGCTGTCTGCCGATGTGCAGGGATGCATCCAGCTTTTGTCATCCCCCTCCCCTGGGTTCCATGGGGATGACCTACAACCTCTCGGAAATAGCTACAATCCTGTAGTACCAGGTCAGCTACAGGGATGGCCTCAGAGCTCACCAGGAAGCTCAGCTTCCCTACAGAAACACCAACACTCTGCACCTGGGTGCAGTTTTGCAGCCAAATGAGCTTTGCTTTGATTTTGCATGCAAGGGTTGAACAACAAAGCGAGTGCAAGAAGCAGGAAGCCACCTATACCATACAGGAAAGAAAAACTTGTCAACTCTAGTGACTCTGTATTTTATTAAATTAACCTGATTTTGCATTTGCAAGTCAGAGCTACACAATTTGCTTCTTACTGTAATTAACAGAAGGCATTGACTGTTGCGTAATAAACAACCTTAACAATGAGAAAGTGTCCATCTTGCACTGGAATTGCGGATCATGGCAACTAACTCCATGAAACAGTTAAATCAGTGGCATGATTATTCTGTCAACCATTACAAAGGACACCACATTTTATATTCAAACGCTGTGGAAGCTGGATGAAATTACATTAATACACAAATCTATGCAAAGTATAGCATCCTTTCAATCATTCTGTGTAGGTCCCTCAGCAGTTTCAAAGCTCATGATCTTAAAAAAACCCAGCCAAACAAAACCCAGCCATAAATCCCCAAGCTACCATTCAGACTTGTGTAAGTCGGTATTTCCTGATCTGTTACTGGCTATCTTTAACAGCTGTTCATCAGCTACAGGGCTGCTTGGAGAACAGAGCCGAACAGCCATCTTTATGGGACCATTCATGTTTATTACATCTGTGCTTTGTATCTACCAACAACAGGCCATTTAGTTTTGTTAAACAAAACCTACAAACACCAGTTGTCCTTGGATCACTCCAACTTTCAAAATACATACTATCTATAACTCAAACACTGCGAAGGGACTCAAAAACAACTGTCACTGACAGATAAAAAGAGGAAAAGACAGATTACTTATCAAATGTACTCACATTTGCTTTCTAACTGCAAATATTAGCTCCCATATATATATATAAAATGTTCAAAACCAATATGGAAATACAAATAAAGCTAGATACCATGGAAAACAATAGTTCATCAAAACAGGATGTCACAAATGTTATGTTACAGCTCTAAAGATCTAACTTGCCTAATTCTTTTGAAGGTTTTTTGCTGATCAAACCTTCTACACAACAGCCAATTCTATCTCCTCTTTTAAATGCTAGTATTATTTATAACATGTTGAGAGTCAGAAATAGATGAATATCTGTTTGTCTAAGCAGAAATCCTTCGATGCTGACCTTATCTCAAAGGTACAGAGAACACAGTTTGCAACCCCCAAGTCTGGAACTGACTGGGGACTCCATAGCACAAATCGATGAAGATGTCAGGTATAAGAGAGGCTGCTGTACCAAGCAGTGGCAAGAAATGCTTTCTGCATGCCTTTTCCCTATGCAACAGGTGGCTCCCCCGTCCCTTCACCCAGGAAGATGAGCGCTCTGAACCACCTTCCCTCAACAGTGCTGAATCTCTCCCTTCATCAGTTCACACAGTGCTCAAAAGTCAATGCATGCTTTGAAAAACGCCGCTGCCCCTCCATCGACACACCACATTTCTAAGGACACGGCGTTCACCACAGCTGCGTCTGCTGGGAAGGGTGTAACTACGAGACACGCACTACATTGTAAATTCACATGAGCTATTAAGTATAAACTGTAAGGAAATCCAAGCGCTAAGCCCAGTCACATTCAGACTGGTAAAGCCACAAGGGGATTTTCACAGACAATGGTTTAGGAGTTATGTTAGTTCCCAGGGATTTCGCAAAGCGTTTTTCTCTTGTTACCTTGGTAACGGCTACCTTGGCACCCCTGTTGATAAGCTGCACCACATTCTCCACTTGGCCCTTGTAGGCAGCTACGAGCAGGCGTTCTGAAAGCACGGCAACCACATCCTGCTGGCTCATGAATTAGGAGAGAAAGGTTTTCAGGATTCCTTGGTCCAAAAAACAAAGGCTTGGGATCGGTTCAAGCAGCATGCAGACAGGCGAGGAAGGACCCCAGCTCCCTGGACAGTGACGTTACTGCTATGCCATCCTCTGGACCTGTGGATCAGAAAACAACACTGCTGTCAGCAAGCTTTCAGAGACAGAAGCACTGCAGCAGCTCCTCGCTGGGTGTTTGCCTTCACGTTGCTTTGGAAGGGGGTCACAAAAAAGCCTCAAAGCTTCCTGAAGAGACTGCACTTCTGTTGCAGTGCTGAGGGATATAGACAGTACCACATAATGTGCCCTCAATCCCCTAGTTTGGGACAAACAATCCTGAGAACTTTTGGCCTAACCTGTATCTGTGTGGCCCCCTTTCATTCTGTCCTTCCCCCGGGGCTTCCCAGACTTTAATTAGACAAGGACAGGTTAACTACCTCTACTGCTAATAGTAGCTCAGCTTCTGTTGGCCAAAGAAACAAGAATAGTTTATAGTTTACTGGCTGCTGATACATATACACAAACCTCTGCCATGGAAGCACTGAGTGCAGTCAGTAATTAAAGGCAGCTGACTGTTCCCTCATGAGTGTAAAATGCTTCACAGCCTCTCCCAAGGACACCACTGTGTCCTGCAGTGGAGGGATCATGACCTGCAACTGGGAAACACTCATTTTTGCTGTCAGTGAGAAACGATGTTCCCCCTGCAGCGCTGACATCACGCCCCACTGACCCCAGCAACAATTCAGATTTAGCACTCATCACGCAAACTTGTGAGCGTGTTCTGCTTCCTGGGCTCCACTGGCCTGTCCAAAGGGCCATCAGACCGGAGAAAGGATTTCTGACAGAATTCCAGAAAATGTATCCACAGATCACTTTAAGCTGTAGGATCCAGAACCTGCCCAGTCTGGGAGGATTTCAGCTTTATCCGTGCTTTTCACGCGTTGGTATTTATTTGTTTCAGTACAGGAAAAACACCTTTGAGATAGCCAGTGTGTATCTAGATGATTTATCTTTCTCTCTTTCTTGAAATATCACTGCACTACTCCTTATCAGCTACCAGTATTACAGGCTTTGCGTAGTCTAAGTAATCGCTACAGGGACTAGATGATCTTGGAGATTGATAGCAGAATACAATGCCTCTCACCCTTACATTATCCCTTTGAATCCATCTCAAAACCAGCAATAACTAAAAGCTATTACTAAAAGCTATTACTGCTTAATGGCTTTGCTGCCCCCCTAAATTGATTTGTTTGTCTCAGTTTAGCTGATAATACAAAACCCTCCGCATCATAACCCCACCACTCAGAGTACTGACATTTTTGCTAACAGCTTCAGCAGGGAGATCAGCAGCAGACCAGCAGAAAGATTTAATTTCCACCCTCATACCAGGGTGCCACTCCCAGCAACAAGGAGAAAACGCATGGGTGGCTGTGGCATGTGAACTCCCCGCCTTTTAAATACTGGGGGCAAGACCTTTTAATGAACATGATTCCAGTGTTAAAGGACTGTACCCACCAGTACCCTTTCTCCAACAAAAAGGTGCTGTAGCCCTGTTTAATTAAATACTTAATAGGGTATTGTGATCTCCTGTGTCACCAAAGAGGTATCCAAAGTCCCTGGACCCTGCGGGATCACTGATGTACACTAAACATTCTTGGTCATGTATATTAAAACCATGCTGGTTAATTTGTAGTAGTAGATGATATTAGCAAAATTTAATATGCACTCCAGTGGTAATTTGGATTAATGAAACTTAAAACACTTTATGAGCAGTAATTCTTATAACACCCTTTGAGGTGAATAATATGCTCAAGAGTATTACATGCATTTTAGAAAAAGGCCCTTGAAAGCACAGTAAAGTTACTAGTTTTTATGAGGTTAAGGGAAAAGTTATGTCAGAGACAGGAAGTAACTCCAGATAATTGACTCTTAAATTCTATATATATTAGGTAATACTATTTCCAGGTAAAACAGTCAGGTTAGCTTTTCCTCACCTTCCTCTTGCTTTCTAAGTGTAAACGTGTTTGGATCAACATGGAAATAACCACACATTTATTCAGAGAAACAAGCCAAACTTTCTGGGCCTCAGAGGCAGCGCAACAGAGAACAGAGAATTGGTGCCACTGGATTGGTCTCACACCCTCTCTGTGACAGACAAGGTCTAGACACCCTGGTACCCTGGTAACATGGAAAAGATGGAAGACAGAAGAAAAACCTGCCAACTCTGCACCTTAAAACATCTGTGGTCAGACCCTGCTTGGTTTTCTTACCCCTTAAATTAAAAATAAAAACCCAAACTAAACAGTAACATCATTGTGACTGAGAGATTTATATAGTCACTGTGAAAATCTCACTGACATTTCTGAGCAATTTCACAGAAGCCGTAGATGTTCATTACATCTTAACCACACTGCTAGAAAAGTACCTGACTACATCAACTGACTCACAACAGTGCAAAGTTTAGTGCTGCTGGGGAAAAATCTAGTTAACAGGTACGTACCTGCACAAGGTAAACACTGCAAATTGTACTCCCTAGTTTGAACTTTTCTTCCTCTTTCTCACTGCATTCCCATCACTGCAGTACATTTCCCCTTCCCCAGAGATGAAGAGCCTCTTCAGCCTGCCATGTCCTGCCACACTGGAGTGACAGGCTGCAATGGCACTGCTGTTAATGTGTCGTTTGCCTTCTTGCCTCTTCCACTGTTTGGATCACTTATAAAAGCATAGCAAGGGGTTGATTCAGCTATTGGTCTTTTACGGATGTCTCTCACATTGGCCACGTCTCCAGCAGTACCGTCAGTCCCCTTTCCTCTAGGGCAGTCACATCACAAGCCTGGCTCCTGCACAGGGCTGTTTCACAGATGGACACTGGCACAACAGGTCATATTTCCCACGCCAGCTGCTTTACTTCACCTTAGCTGAGATTATTTGCAACTCAGAAAAGTGGATCCGATTAGGATAGGAGGCCCAGACAACTGTAATACCAACTTTCCTTTTCTCCTGAGCTGGTAGGAAAAGGCAATGGGTGACCAGTGGGAGAGGGAGGGGGAAGAACCCTTTCATTCCCCTCCCAGTGGAACCTTCTCCATCCCAGTGGCTGAATAAGCAGTGGCATCGCTCCCCCTGCCAGCTTTAACTCTCTACCTGCCGCAAACACACAAAGCATCTTTACTTGATCATGTCCCTGCCTCTCCCTCCAGCAGAAAGAGGAGGGTACCAGATGCCCAAGGACTGAAATTAAAAGCTTGACCACCCCTTTCACGCACAGATGGTGCAAAATGAACCACAGAACACAATTACAAGTGCTGTATCACATCCCTGCTGCCAGAACCTGCTTCCAGGATTAAATCCTTTATTATCACCCCCCAAATCCAGGAGCTCAGGGGAAGCACGGAGCTCAGAAATATTCAAGCCTTTTGCCTTCAAAACAACAACAAAAAGGATTTTGCTTAAATGTATTTTTAAATAAGCCATCTCTATGTTTCTTTAAGATCACTTACCTGGGATAGGCTGGGAAAGCAACACTGACTTCCCGAGGCTCTCCAGGGAAGCCGCCAGGTGTGAAGACCACAGGTTCAATTGCTCCACCACAGGGCAATCCCTTCCGAGAATAACCTGCTCACCCCATTGGCAGAGCTTGGAAAAGGACAGTTCGACCATGGATTAACATTCCTGACCAGCAGCAGTGAGGCACCATCCCCAGGTGCTGAGGTCCAGTCGCATCCCCATGGATGCTGCCTGCAGCTCAATGAGTCACACTGCTCTACGGATGCTCTAGGAGATGTTTGGCCAGGATGGCACAGGCGGGCAGCTGGCTGCTTGGTGGCAGGGTCTCAAAGCTCACAGCTCTGGCCTCTCTCCCGTGCAATAGGCAGAGCAGGCAAAAAGCACCCCACGCACCTTTCCCCTCCCCAGCTCCTTCCCCTCCAAACTGCTCGCAGGCTGCTTCAGCAGCTCTATCACCAAAAAAGTACAGGAAAGAAGATTTCTAAAAACCAGAGGGAAGTCCAGGACAGTCAAAGGTGTCATCATGAAAACCACACCAGTAGCAGCTATGTCTGGAAAACAGCAAAGCTCCACCACGTCAAGAACAACGTGCTTTTGGATGATACTTTTCTTGACAACAACATCAATACTATTTTGGAGTTAGATTTTATACCAATCAATGCTTTGAACTGGACACCTGCACAAAAGTCTGGTAGTTTACATGTTGCTCTCTGCATCTTTTCCTATTGTTTTCATCACATATTTGACCATACCAAGTGAAATTATCCAGTTTTCATATGGACAGTTGTGTGATTCATCACCCTGAGTATCAGCACGGTGGGACATCAGTGCAAACACTTCCTGGGCTTTTATTTCTTTTCACCACTTCTTGCTATTAATTACTCCAACAATGACTATTTAGCAGCCTCCCAGGGAGCATCTGCATGACAGCTGCTCATCACGCTTCCCACCACAACCAGACTGGACTGGTTGATGGCACTGCTCCACCCCAGCTGGTGGCCTTGTTACCACCAGAACCAACCTCCAAAGCTGCACCTGGCAAGCAGAATGCTTTCGGAGAGAGGCACAGACACAGGGAGATCAACGATGAAGATCAGGGGCAGTTTCAAGTCATCAGTTAAACGTCACTAATATCCTTGTACAAAGACAACTGTTTTTCTTCCTCTTCTTCTTACCTCTTCACCCTGACCCCACTCATCCAATATGCAGGTTATATACTTGCAGCTTGCCATATAACACGATTTGGGTTTCTTTATTTGGTTCATCTCATTGAAATTTCACAACTCTCCCTGCCCTCTCTTTCAATACCTGCCTGTACACACATGTCAAAACCATTCAGGACAAGGGAGCTCAACTCTCAGCAAGCCCTCAGTCAGTTGAGCACTATTTACATGACAAAACAGTGTCTATTGTTTGACAGGAGACAGTGTCTGTGTGCAAATACACATGCATGAGATATCTGGCTCCCATTTACA